ACCGGTCACTTCCTGGCCGAGCAGTTTCTGTTCGGTCCGGGGTGGCACACACTCAGTCCCAACTCTGTCCGGCCCAAATCTGTCCGGCACAACTCTGCCCGGCCCAAATCTGTCTGGCACAAAGTCCATATCATTAATCTCCCTCTCATTATAGTAAAGGAACATCTGAAACAAATCTCTTAAACTTATACATAAAATTTTATTTACAAGAGATAAAATATAAAAAAATTAAATATAATTATCGTATTTTTAATAAATAATATATTATTTTATCCTGTGCATAACACGGGTGACATGCTAGTCTGCATATAATGGAGGAGGAAGTTTTGTAGTTTCTCACTTTATAGCTCTACTTTGATTCCTCTCAGCTCTAATAGCAGATCGAATCAAGGTCTGTGTTTCTTCTCTGATTCTATTTTTCTATTTCTTTTCAATTTTTTACTCAACAAAAAATTAACTGAATGATCAAAGAAAATGAGCTCAAAAATTCGATTACTGTTCTTTATTTTGTTCAATATTTATGGTCTCTCGTCTCGATTTAAACCATACATTACGTATTTTTGTCTTCAAATTTTGCATTCTAGTGTTTCCGAAGCTGTAGTATCTCCAACCCTGTAAATTTATATAATGTTTATATGCTAATAATTGGGGCTTTTAGGTGCAAAATTTTGAGAAATATCAAAGCTTGAATGGAATTGGGCCCGTTGGTTGGGTGTTTTGTTTGTAATTGACTTGAGGGTAGCTGAGACTCTTTAATTGGGCTTGCAAGTGACTTGGAATTAACAAGTGAGTTGGGTGAAGGGATTCTAAGGTTGTTTTTTTGGAACTAGTCCACACTTGTTTTATTTTATTTTTTGATTCGAAAGGCAAATTTATTTATTTATATAGTTAAGTTGGACGTACGGCAAAACAAAAGACAGGAATCTAAGTATGTAACACAAGAGATTCGTGATGTAAACTAAGAGTGCTAGAGCTATGCAGTACAAGGGTTCTGAAGTCAGCGAATGGGTTGAATCGATGGTGAGCAGGAGGTGAAGGTAGATGATAAAGGATAAACGGCGTGTGAAACTGCTTCCGGAATTATTTTACAGTGGCCCATAATTTAGCTACCACACTATTAGTCAAACCAATGCATTGTGCAAAACCCATAACCCAGTGGCTAGATTGATCTCTAATATTGTGTTTGGTTGAGGGATTTGAGAAGGGATTTGGAAAGGGAAATGGAAAAGGTAGATGAAATGTGAATTAAACATGTCTATATTTCACCTAATTTCACACACCTTTTCCCTTTCTCTTTCTAAATCTCTTTTCAAATTCACCAACCAAACACAGCGTAAAGACTCCTGCTAGGCTGGCTGGACCTGGTGGCCCACTATGAAGCACGGATACTCCAAAATAGCCCCCGTACGCGTATCGGATACGTATCGGATACGGATACGCGCCCGATACGGCTGGATACGTATCAGATACGGGAAATGAAGTATCCGATTTTTTTTTTTTAATTTTTGAATTTCGAATACGGCTAGGATACGTGAGGATACGGTAAGGATACATTCAGGATACGGTATGGATACGGCGGGACAAAAAAATAATTTAAAAACTTTAAGAAGGGGTCAAATTGTAAAATATGAAAAAAATATGAAATAAAACACAAAAAAGAGGAGGAGGAGGAGAGATCGAACCCGCAGCTAGGTCGAAGGAGTTCGAACAGCAGCTAGGTCGAAGGAGGAGGACAGTTCGAACAGCAGCTAGGTCGTCCCTCTCTCTCGAACAGGAGCTCCACGATCGTCTTTCAGATTCGTCCCTCTCTCTCTCCCTTTCGCTCCCTCTGTCTGCCTCTCACAACACTCGATCTCACGATCTCTCTCTCTCTCCCTCTCCCTCTCGCTCGAGCTCGATCTGTCTGTCTGGTTGGCTGGAGATCTCGACTCGATCTCATCTCCCCCCCCCTCTCGACTTGATCTCATCTGTTTTGTTGCCTATTTATTTTTTTTAATTTGTTGTATTGTATACACTCTGCGATTTACTTAAATAAATAAAACACTGATCAAGAAAAAAAAAATCTGATAAAACAAATAAATAAATAAACTTATTAATAAATAAATAAATAAAATAAGGTAAAAAAAAACTTATTAGTAAATAAATAAATAAATAAAATTATTAAAAATAAAATTTGTCAACTTATAAAATTATAAACTTTGTAAACTTATTAATAAATCAAATAAGGTAAAAAAAACTTATTAATAAATACATAAATAAACTTATTGATAAATAAATAAACTTTGTAAATTTTTTCCCCCTTAATTTGGGATTGAATTGCATTATGGTTGTTATGGGTGATGCTATATTGTTAAAATTGTTGAAATTTAATTGAATTGATGAATTTTTGGTTATGGATGATGCATTATGGTTGTTATGGGTGATGCTACATTAATATTTTGTTTTATTTGTTTACCATAAATTTTAGGAAATTAGTTGAGGTACATTACCATAAAATTGTTGAAGTTTTATTTTTGTGTATGCTACATTACTAAAAATTGTGAAAAAAAATATTTTTTATGAACGTATCCCCGCCGTATCCGTATCCTACTTTTTTGAATTTTGCCATATCGCCGTATCCGTATCGCATCGTACCCGTATCCCATATCCGTATCCGTGCTTCCTAGGTGGCCCAAGAGCACAAAAATAAGTTTAAGAAAATCCAACCCTGGAGGTGTCCATCTGACCAGGATTTTACACCGAGAGGGCAGAGGTTTGGTAGTGAAGCCTAGAAAGAAGTATTCCATGGTTTGTTGGAGTATCGTTTTAATTTGGTGGCTGATAGACCTCGCCGAGCGCGAGAAATTCAATCCTTAAAAGGAAGGACATTGTAGATTTTACGATCAATGGGTGGATGAAGTCAATTCCATATATGTATAGATTGCGGCCGTACACAATCACAAGGGCATGTACAGAACTTTCATCCGCTTGGTTACATCGGTGGTAAAGAAATGATGGGGAGATCCAGTTTAAACATGATCGCACAAATATATGTGTGCAACGCTATAGAAAGTAATTATTATTATTATTTTTTTTGGGGGGGGGGGTGGTAGTGTTTGTGCCAAAGCTAAGCAGGATTCCACAAATTTGATCAAGTAAGACCATCTCCAACGGTGAACCAAACTTGGCATCAGATTTAAATTTTAGTGAAAAAGTCACTTTTTGGTGCTCCAACAATTTCACCAAATTGGTATCAAAATGAGAATTCGACAAAAAAATCATCAAACTAAGAACAGGGTACAGATTTCACCAAATTACCGTGCATAACCGTTGAAGGAGGTCAACCGGTCAACCAGCCGGTTGCCCGGCGGGCTGACCAACCAGTCGACCGGTTCATCAATTCTGTGACGGGTTTAAACTGTTTGAACTAGTTGGTTTGAATTGGTTTACTGTGTACGTGACCGTTGGAGATCAATCGGTTAACCAGCTGGTTGCCCGGCTGGTTGACCAATCGATTGACCGGTTTGATCAATTCTGCGACAGGTTTGAACTGGTTGGTTTGAACAGGTTTATTTTGAGATAGGTTATTTTGTGGACTATGAATAATTTGAAGGGTGATATAAATTTAAATTCCCTTGAAAATATAATTGAAATTGTTATCTCATATACATATTTCAGAACTAGCCATTTCAATAATTTACCGTTGGATGGACAGAGTATTTTGAAAATTTACCGTTGATAATGTGTTCTATAAAATATATCTTTTTCGTATATCAAGTTGACAGAGTATTTCATTTTTAGAATAGCATTACATTATATGCTGTGAATTTTGTTTCTTCTGTGTCATTAGAAAATGTTTTCCCTTGAAATTTTAATTTATATTATCTAATTAAATTATTTGATTCTGAGGTTGAGTGTATATCATTCTAATATTTTTCAGTAAGTTATATATTGTATGTACTGTATTTTTTCCAAACTATGGAAGATTTTGAAATGTTTGAGGAATCACAAATGTTGGAGCACAACACTGATATTAATTTTATGTCGGAAACTTCACGAGAGCAGAACACGCAGAACAGTGATAATCATTTTATTTCAGATACTTCTCGTGTTTCTCGTGGTAAAGCGTTCACAATTATAGAAGATGAAACTTTATGTAGATCTTGGTTAGCAATCTGTCAAGATCCCATTATTGATAATAGTCAGACTATGGCTATATTTTGAGAACGAGTACTTGTTTATTTTAATTCACAATTGAGCGATGAATCAAATCGAAACCGTATTTCTTTATCTCACCGTTGGTCTGGCATGCAAAAGGCAATTAATAAATTCTGTGGTTTTCTTGAACAACTTCAACTGAGGCAACAAAATGGAACAACTGAGGCAGACATGGTAAAATTTATTTGTGTTATTAAATATCAATTTTCTTTTCTAAATGTATACTTGTTATTGAAATGTTTGTAATTTTTTTTTCTAGGTCGCTGAAGCGAAGCGGATGTATCATGCAATACAGAAAAAACACTTCACATTTGATACATGTTGGGATATTTTGCGCCGAAGTTGTAAGTGGGATGAATTTCGATCACAACCCAAAAGAAGCACGCAACATGCTCATCCATGTTCGAATCCACCAACTGAACATGAGGCATTTCAATCCAACCAGAATAATGCGGTGCACGGACAACCATCTAATACATCAACACGACCAATTGGTACTAAGGCAGCGAAAGAGAAGTTGAAGAATCAAACAACGCACGATAGTAGATTTGATGAAATGGCTGCCAACCTTGCGCAAGATCAGAAAACAAAGGCGATCAGTCCAACACATTCAAGTCATTGTGCGAGCCAGGCATTCCAAAAAATGCATGCCAAATCCATAAGTCATAAGATGCTACTGCTTCAAGAATAATGGTTGGCTTTTTTTGATGGCTTACGTATTGACCTTGACATGCCTTTGAACAATTTTTCCACTCCCAATGCATGCAATCTAAACTTCCCAACATACCCGGAAACCCCCGAACCTTCCCAATAGCAAGTAATCTAGCAATGTCAGTTGGTGTCGGAGATCTCAGATATTCTAGTCCAAAGATTTCAATCACTGAATTACAAAATTGTTGCAAACTTTGAATTGCAGTGCTTTCCCCGATATGTATGTAATCATCAATTGCATCTGCTGCAACACCATATGACAATATTCTCATCGCTGAAGTCATTTTTTGTAGGGGAGATAATCCAACTACATGAGCTACATCTTGTTTTTGAACAAAATATGAATTGTGTGCTTGGATTGCATTCAAAATTCGCAGATACAAAAGACGACGCATTTGAAAACGTCTCTGAAATATTGTAGGTGAATACACTGGATTTACAGCAAAATAACCTGCAAACAATCTGTCATGATCCTGCCTTCTATCTCTGCGTATATACTTATGGCCTACAACAGAACCACCTATTTTCTTTGAGTTATCCCTTGACTTAAGAATCTGAAGCATACTAGCATTATTCTTCTCATAAGCCCCTAAAAGTGTGACCATATATTCATCGTCAGACTCATCATCAGAGGATGAGGAAGAAGAAGAGGATGAAAATGAAGTCAATATCATGGATTTGAAGGTATTCATTATGCTCTGTTTTGTTTCAGCTATGATCGTATCAGTTGTCTGGCATATGGATAATGTTTTTATATGAGATTTTAGAAACAAATCATTGTTAGAGGTAAACCAAAATGACATATATGTAATGGAGGGAAAAAGAAATAGGAAAAGAATTGGGAACAGAAATGGAGGGAAACCAAAAATAATAATAATAATAATAATAATGTTCTTACCAGTCGACCCGCCGGTCGACTAACCAGTCGCCCCTCCCCCTTTTGATGCTCACCGTTGGAGCCAGTGGTATCAAATTGAGAAAATTGGCTTCTTTTAACTCAAATTTGGTGAAAATTTTGGTTAAGCGTTGGAGATGCTCTAAGGTAGGTGACAGTGTATGAGTGAAAATATCAAGTTTTCATATTCCTATAGTTGTAAGAAGGTCTTTGATTTGGAGAGCTTCCAATGCAAAAGGGAGAGAGGCAATGAAAAGGTGGTGAAGGGGTCCTTGTGGGAGTCATTTGTCATACCAAAATGATTTGTATAAGTGAAAGCTGATACTCCATTGGATGCCGTGTGTGGTTTTGGGCTGGGCTACCTAGAAGGAGGAATGAGAAAAGTTTTTATATTGAAAAAACTGGGCCCCAACAGAATGAGAATGAATCCAAAGTCTCCATGCAAGATTAAGATAAGCTTGTTCTAAAGCCTTGTTTTCTTGAACCCCAACCCTCTATCTATTTTGAGGGAAGTAACAATGTTCCAGTTAAAAATAGGTTGACGCTCGTCCCCTAACATGAGTAGAATGAGGCAAGAATATTTGATAGCATATATAAGACAATCTTTGTGGTGGCACAACAAAAAAGTGGATATCATCCGCTAAAAATGAGTGCGAGTTGCCTAATGACACTTCAATAGGGTGAAGTTTGTAAGCTTCACAAGCAGAAGTAAGATCAAGTGAGAGCTGGTTGATCCATAAAATGAAAATATACGGTGATAAGGGTCCCCTTGTCTTATAGCGATCCCGGTATTTCCTGTTGTTGTTTAACTGTAATCCGGACTCGGTTCCGTAGATTCGTTGTTGTCTTATCCTCATTTCTATCCCCTACTCTTTTAATTAGAGTTTTGGGTTGTGTTGGACAAGTTGGGAATAAGTTGGTCGTGTTCTAAAACTTAGAAATTTTGCCCAGGTTTTGGTCTCTCCACTCGAGGACCGGTATATTTGACGCTCGAGCGGGATTTTTGTTGCTGCCTTTCCGCTCGAGCGTGAATTTCCTTCTCTCAGCATTTTGGACATCTGCAGAAAATTCTGGGAGAGTGCATCCGGCGCTCAAGCGGATCTTGGGACGCTCGAGCGTGAACCTGTGTCTGACGCTCGAGCGGGGTGTTGTACGCTCGAGCGGACCTGTTTTATATATCAGTCTGTGAAATCACTTTTTTGTATCACTTTTTGATTTCCTTCTCTCTCTCTTACTTTTTCAAAACTTCCATTGGAGAGCACCTCACTCTAAAACCCTAACTTCTCTCTTAGAATTGATCTAGTAGGAGTTGTTTTCTCTCACCTTGGGCCTTTACAAAAGTTGTGTTGATCGTAGAGGGCTATTCTTTTAATCTGAAAATTTCGGGTTTGGAGCATTCTCCGTTTCTTCATCTTATTCGTTGGGTCCCATCATTCGAGGTAGGGATAACCTACTCCATCTTATGAGCTTTGTCTTTGAATTTTAGCATTTTGATATGTTGGGGGTTGTTGGGTAATTTTGAGAAAGTTTGGGCTTTGTGTAATTTTACAAAAGTTGGGGTTTTAAATATATAAACCTATATGCATGTTAGGCAATAGAGAAATGAGATTAATGTTGGGACATTGATGGAAATGGAACCTTAGGGTTGTTTTGTGAACTATGGTGATTTGCCCTAATTGGTATAATTATTAATGCATACGATTAATTGAAAGAAAATGAGGAATTGAATTGAGAATGTTTAAAAATTGGGAATGTATGTGACTAAAGAGTGTAGACGAATCTGTTATTGCTCATCTAGTTGAAATGTTGATATATTATCCATTTGTGCATTTATTTCCTACTTAGAAATAATTGCTTTGGGCTACGGTGGAGGGTAGTGTTGATTGTTGTAGACAATGCATGATGATTAGCAAATTAAAACTAATCAATCGGATGTGTCATAGAGTTATGACGGTTGGTAGAATACATTAATTGTATGTATTGAGTGATTGCGTATATGACTAATGTGTTTATATGCATTATGTGTAGACGGTTAGTAGAATACATTAAATTTATGTATTGATTGATTGAGTATGTGATTCTGTGTTTACATGCGTTATATTGTGTATAGAACCTTTGTGTTTATATGCATTGCTTGTGTAGAGGAGGAGATGGGGGATGTACTCCACTGTTTAGGGGAAGATGGGGGATGTACCTCATGCTTATCTGTTATGGTATTGATATAGCTCATATGCTTATCTGTTGTGGTATTGATATAGCTCATATGCTTATCTGTTGTGGTATTGATATAGCTCATATGCTTATCTGTTGTGGTATTGATATAGCTCATATGCTTATCTGTTGTGGTATTGATATAGCTCATATGCTTATCTGTTGTGGTATTGATATAGCTCATATGCTTATCTGTTGTGGTATTGATATAGCTCATATGCTTATCTGTTGTGGTATTGATATAGCTCATATGCTTATCTATTGAAAAGTTGGTTTGATTTGATATAACACTAAAATGTATATCATCATCGTTTGTGAAGTATGGAAGTAGTTTGTGTGTTATTGATATAACATCAAAATGGGTATCCACCGTGAATTTCGAAGGTGTTCTAGTGATGAACTATAACCTCATCAAATGTTTTGGCCAGAGTACTGAGCCTTGTTTTCAAACTCAAAGTTGAATAAGAAATGAAAATTGAATTGTATCATAGACTTAGTTGTCATGGAATTGAAATAAGATATAAATGGAGGTGTAAGTATCGACCATCTTTCAGTTGCTAATCTTTTAGGCATTGTTTATAGTTGGTTTAGTATATCTCTGCTGGGCTGTGGCTCACCCTATATGGGAACATCATTTCAGGTACAGGTACTTGCCACTTCCAAGGACATAGTTTGGGAGGCTAGAGGCGGGCAGACTCTTGTTCTCTTATCTCCTTTTTGATGTATTACATGTAAATTCAATGCCAAGGGCTTAATGTGTAACCGAGTCAATACTCTCTTTTATAACCAAGTGTTAACTTGGAAAGCTGTAAGCCCGTAGGGCATTTATTCTTGTTGTTGACAAGTACTACTTTTGTAATGAGGTACTCTAATTATGTGAGGAAATGTAGATCTTTTGTATCTAAATGCATGTTTATATTGAAGGGTTTAATGTTATTATTTTGAGGGCGTTACATGTCTAACACCATAGGTTGGGGAAAAAAAAAGATTGGATGGCATACTATTCCAAAGAATAGAGAAAGAGACCGTAGATGCAAATAGCATCACAAGATTGGTAAGTGCTTGGGAAGACCAAGTTGGGCAAGTGTTCCATGAATGACAAACTCAATCAACGGTTTTGAGCATGAGATGCATTTTTCAAAATACGCATCACATTTGTATTATTTGGTCCTTTTGGAATAGAGACGATTCATAGTAAGTGAGAGGATAGATAGTGAGAGAATTAAGTAAAATTATGTTTGTTTTGATGATAGTTGTTGGTGTAGGGATTGTTAAATTATTTTTATATAAAATAATAAAACAAATAAAAAATACAAAAACATTAAACATTAATGTTTAAAAAAAACGCCCAACATATAAAAAATGAAAAAAAAAATTCAAAAAAAAATAAAACAATGATTTTTACTTAACAAAAAATACAAAAAATTAAACATTAATGTTAAAAAAAATGCCCAACATGTAAAAAATAAAAATAAAAATAGTCTGGCGGACTAATTTCTAATACCAAGTCCCATAGGCCTATCTTAATCCCCTCCTCAAAGGGATTCGTAGTCTGGAGGGGATTACAAATCCCCTCTCAATCTCTCAAAACAAACATGATATTAGTGGGTCTCACCTGACTACGAATTTCAATCCCTTCCCTTTAATCCAAAACAAACAGGGCCTTAGAGTTTGGAATGTTGGGATGAAAGAGATGAGAGTAAGTTTGGCATTATGAGAAGTGTAAAGAGGAATTTTTGGGTGTGGTGTAAAAAGAAAATAGGTGTAGAGAGTTTATTTGGTAGTATAAGTAGAATCACTCAACATTCTACCTTTGACCCAAAAAAAAAAAAAAAAAAAAGACATTTTTGTTTTCACTTATTTATCTGATTTTTTTTAAGTAAAAAAAAAAATTCTGGATTACATTGGTTTATTAAATGCTAAAAAAAGAAATTTTTATAATTTATTAAATTCTTTAAATTTTTTAGTATACTTTTCTACTTCTAATAATTTTTATAGTTTGTAAAAAAATTCAAATTAAAAAAGAAACACCAAAAAAGAGGGTTAAAACCCCGCCTAAAATTTTTAATAACAAAAAAAAATGACCATTTGCCAACTGAATCAACTTAAGTAAAATAATTTTTTTTTTAAAAAAAACAAAAAAATATAACTATTGAAAATTCATTTGTCAAATCAATCCTTAAATTATATGTTTGAACCTTTAAAAAGGAGATTAACAATTAAAAGTTCCTATCGAATTCAAGGATTACATATATTTTTAGATTTGTCAACGACAAAATTTTAATCACTCTTTATGGTAGTAGTTCTTATACTTTACCTATAGTCTCACTTTAGTTTTCATAATTTTAATTGACTCAATTTTCACTATAAATTTTATATTTTGTATCAACTTATTCCAATAAATTACTCATAAAAATGCATGCGAATGCCATATGACTACTTTCAAGTGTAAAATATACTTTAGTCATTTCCCTTTTTATCTCTATTCTCGATGCGACAAACAGTTTGTCTACAACAAACAATCATGCATCACATACAACTCTACTATCTCCTCCATTATCACCTGTGCACCCTTTTGCCACCAATTAATTCTCGCATTTCTACCACACTAACAGTCCGTTACCACTAAAAGAATACAACCAAAATCATTAAAATAAAAAACAAAACATTTTCAACAAAATCATATTATAAGTCACCAACAAATTAAAATCCTTCCAAAATTAAGATTGTTGGAAAATGAAAAGCAACTACGATGGCATCACTAGTGTAATTGCTGTCAAAGTCTCTACTGGTGAGAGACTTGGTTCCCTAATCCGCAGTCCATTTTTCATCATTCTTACCATATTTCCAAGTTATCCCAAAATTTTGAGTATGATAATTATTTTGTATATATAGGATGAAAAGATTATTATATGTATTAGGAATTTAATCAATGCAAAACTCCCAACACTAATATGAAAAATTACCTATAAGCAAGACCATACTAGGCCATACTAGAGCCTAAATCAAGCCATGAGTGGATAGGTTAGGTCAGACTTGGCCCAAGTCACCCGTGAGCCATGGACTTTTTAATGAGGCTACTAACACCCATAACCCATATCCTACACCAATGAGAATGTCTGTAGTGAAGAAAATGTGACACTACACTAAAACCAATTTTTCTACATTTCCCACAGACATATATATAAGTACTTTTTTTTATTTTTTTTATTTTTTAAACATTTTTGTTAGCCGTTTATTCTTTCTCTTCCCGGAGAAGGAAAGACAAAGGAAGCCCCACCCCACACAGCCTGGAGTCCTCTCCTCTGACCAAAATGCCCGAATGAACCCTAATAATAAATAAAATGAAACAAATCAATCTCCCGAATTCAATAAAATGATACACAACGGTGGTAGTGGCGGTGGCGGTGGCGGTGGCAGAGGCGGCGGTGGAGGGAGGGAGAACAAAGGTCTAGATCGGCTGACTCAGATGATGATACCCCTTCCTCTCTAACTCAATTCGACGGCAATCTCCACCTTAGCCAGTGGAGACGATGACAAATTTCTGAGGAAGGACGAGAGAGTGCCACAGTGGAGCCACCAGGAGACCTAAGACTTCATCGGCATTCGTGCTGAGCTCGAGAGAGACTTTACTGTTGCTAAGCGGAATAAGACTCTTTGGGAGGTTGTCTCCTCCAGAAATTAAAAAAAAAATCACCGACATTAAAAAAAAAATCACCTGGCTTGAAATAGAGTGATGATAGGATTATCCCTGACATTCATGACAAATGACACATCTCACCACATATCGAACCAGCAAATACACCCATCCTGATTTTCCATTAAATAATAAAAAAAATATCAAAATTACTTCATCCTAGAAAAACCTATTTTCATTCAAAACCCTCAAACTTCAAAGACGCTAAGACTGACTATTTACTTATTCTTTTTATTTTTCTTTTTTTCCCTTCTTATTTGAAGGGTAGTGGCAAAGAATAACATCAATCTAAATAGGAGAAACAAATTGAGCAATCAAGTGACCATATATCTATGAATACTAATATAAATATGTGTGTATATACACACATATTTATAGAGAGAGAGAAAGATAGGGGGTACCTCGCCGGAAGTGGCGACGAGGCTAGGGCGGTCATGGGCGACGATACAACTAGTGGCAGTAGCCTTGTGTCCTCTCAGTCGTCTTAGCTCCGTCCTTGATTCGTCTCTCGCTCTTTCTCTCTCTGTGATCCGATTTCAAGTACTTGGCCATGGGTTGTGTTGTTCAGGGACAAACTAGTACTTAGCCCTGAAATTGGTTAAATCCTTTTTTTAATTGGGAACAAAATAATTCTTGTCACCAATAACCAATTTTAGGCGCCCTCAATTTTGCGTGTGTTTGGGAAGGATGGTTCACGTTAAATTAGCCACATGCGGACAAAAGAGACTTATTTAGCCACATGACGACAAAAACGATTGTTAGGGTTGAAAAGGAACCCTTCTTCGGGTAAATTTACCAAATTACCCTCACATCTCCTTCTGATTCATTTCGCCCAACGCATCACCACACACACACACAACACAACCGTCCTAGGGCACAGAAAAAGCGAAGGAGGCGATCTCTGGCAACCAGCGGCGACGACATCAAAATACGACTTCGCAGAGGCGATCGACACCAGAGTATGCATCTGCAGCGGTGAAGACGACTAGCGAACAGGTTGGCAAATCTGACAGTTGGGGCCTAACGTTGGCGGCGGCGAACAAGAACGAACCCTCTCAAACACCACCGATTTTCAGGTAACTCTTTCAAACCCTTATGATTTCGTAGATCTGTGTGAGTGTGTGTGGCCTCTGCTTAGGGTTCATGTGTGGAGTGCCTTTCTCTGTATACAACGTTATGATTTTAAAAATTTTAGAAGGAAGTGAGGACTCTCTTTTTTAAAATTTTTCCAAATTTTGTTTCCCATTTTGGGTTCATTACCGACCTGTTGAAGTGATTTGTCGTGCTTGGGTTCACACATTTTGGGCACAGATATATATATATACATATATCTGTTCTTATATATAAATCTGTAAATCTGTGAGTAATGAGGGCCGGACTACGTAGATATAGGTTGAGATCCGTAAAACACTCTGTTCTTCTTTTGATTTTGTTCTTATAATTATCATTAAAAATGAAATCTGATTTAAAAATGAAATCTGATGTACACATTGTTCCACTGCTACTCTCTGGCCATTTTTTAAATAAATTCTGAATGAAATCTGGGAATGCACTTATGTTATTGTGAATGCATATCTGATTCTGGTAAAGCTCTGTTCAGATCCGTAAAACACTTTGTTCTTCCTCTCAGATTTTGTTCTTATAATTATCATTAAAACTGAAAATTTTCAGATCACAATTTCGAATTGATGTACACATTGTTCCACTGCTACTCTCTACCCATTTTTGAAATAAATTGTGAATGAAATCTGTGAATGCATGTCTGATTCTGTTAAATACCTATTGACTTGTCATGAAATCTGAGTCTGTGAATGAATAAGGATAACTGAAATGGGTTTTGTGATTTTTTAGTCCATGACAGACAAAATGTCCAATTTTTGTTATATTTTTTTGTTCCACTCAATGCTGAAGCCTGATTTTTTGTTATACTCAATACTCAATACTCAATACTCAATACTTTAGAGAATGTCCAATTATTTGTTATTTTTATACTGAAATGCTGAACAGGATGTCAATGCTCAAGAGGATGTCAATGTTGATTCTATTAGGAAATTTTTTTTACAAAAAAGTATGTCCACTTTTCATGTGCATGTCAATTCTGTTATATTTTCATGTCCAATTTTAAAAATAAGTACAATCTTGAGTAACATTTCATATAAATATAGTATTGTCAAACACTTGAGTAAAACAACTGAAAATAATAAAACATAAATAACTGGGATAATAATAATAATAACAATAATAATAAATTAATGGTTACAAAATAATTTGAGTGCAAGTGGATATGGGTTAATAAATACTCCTACCAATATACTACTGATTCAAGATGCACAATACCATTATCATAATTCCATGTCCATGATCGGAACCCAAAATTAAATAGCGTTAGTCTTTGTACGTTTTCATGTTGATTCATGTCAATTAAATTGAAATGCCTATTGATTACGGCTTCATACTTTACAATGTTTTGACTTAATTTGATCATGACTTCTTCATTTCAGTCATGTAAACACACGGTTACGTAGCCCTTTAAAATAGGATAAGGTTTGCAAAGGAAATTAGATCTTTGCTTTTCTGTTATCACCTTCACGGTGATACCATGATAATGTAGCCTGCTTTTTTGTAAAATAAACAGAAGAAAGTTGATAATTTGTATACCTATCCAATATAGAAATGTGCTTAACGTATTCGGTTTACGTAGCCCTAACATATGGATAACATAAACTAATTACTTGTATGATTCATGGTAACTTCCCAATGTTTGTAAAGCGTAGCATGGCTTCGTTTACCTCTACTGCAACTTCCAGTACATGGCCACGATGAATGTGTGCCTGTGGACATGGCCCCTGTATTGTTAAGATTTTCAGGTCCAACAAAAATCCAGGGCGTCCCTACTTTGCATGTCTCCACCCTGTAGTGAGTGACCCATTCTTGTAGGTCATAATTGTATGAACATTAACAACCCATGAAACTAATAGTTCCATAATTTGCACTCATCAGCCCTGTGTCAGTTGGATTGGTTGGTGCGAAAAACCCAGGCGAGAGAACCAAGACTATGCGTCACCTAGAGACGAATTTGTCATGCAATTGTGGGCTGATGTCATAGACATTCAACAATCCTTGCGTGTCCTTAAGACCATTGTGTATGTGCTATGCATTGTCGTTATTGTTTTGTTGTTCCGTATGTAAGCAACGTTACGATGTTGTCAGTATGTAGAAACACGTTAGTATGTTGGTAGTATGTTTTAGTATGACTGTAAGCTGCCTTTGCCTTCCTCCACTTCGAAACGATAGACGTATTAATGACTATCATAACTATGTCTACTACTAACTTCCATGGAACCTATGTACGTATAAAATTAACGTGCAATGGTTATATGCTGGCTAAATTAGCATCCTATCTCTCTGTTTGTTGTTATTAATGTGTAATGGCTTATGAGTTTGTATATAACAACCGAATGTGTGATGGTAATCTTTTCTAACCGTACATTAGTAATGGCTTCCATCCGTACTTCTCCGCGTACCCAATCCAAAAGCAAAGGCATTGTCACTGACAAGTCAAGCAGTCTTGAAGAGACACATAATTAGTTCAGCCACAAGGCCTCATAGGACAGTGACTCCATCTGAGTTTTCCTATAGTTGATTGCAAATGAGATTACTAAAGGAAATCGCCCATTCCTAGTCCTCAGCTAAGCAGGGTACAAGTCCTTGGAAAGGAAATTTGAGAAAAAAACAGGAAGAAAATATGGACTCAAACAGTTGAAGAATAAGTACATGAGTTTGAAAATAGAGTGGCAAGCGTGGACAAAGTTGATGGATTCAAGCAAAGGAGTGTCAGGGATAAGGTTTGACTGTGACACCGGTATGTTTCAGGCACCTAAGGAGTGGTGGGACAAGATGGAATCGGTAAGTACATGTACAAACAAGTTTCATATTTGTCATTTACCAGTACATTTTTAACTTTCGTAGTTAAATTTTAATTAATTATATCAAATGTAAAGTCATTCTCTTTCATATATCTCTATTTATGCAGATAAACAAGGTGTGTACCAAGTTCAGGAAAAAAACCTTGGAACATCGTGAGTTGATGGAGACGGGCATCATGGGGGCATCAGCTACTGGTAAGCACCATTGGACCCTAGGAGAGAAACTTGCTGAAGTTGCTGATGACTCATCTGATTCAGTGCATAGTCTGGGAGCCCAGCCATTTGCTGATCCAATACCCGCAGGAGTACAAGACATGGATTCAGATTCTTCACTGGAGCATGTTCCGATTGAAAAGGGGAAAAGGAGAAAGACGCCATCAAGCAGTGTTTCAAAGTCAAAGAAGGCAACAAGTGGAGCGTCAGTTATTGCAGAAAGCATGAACAATCTGACAGATGTGGTGCGTACGAAGAATTAGCAGGTTACGGTGAAGCACCTCACAGGCAACGAATCGCTGTATACTATTTCGGAGTGCATGCATCACCTAACGAGTATTCCATCCCTGGTTGGTACGCCGTTATTCCACTTTGCCTCGACACTTATGGATAACGCCGATTTGCGGGAGGTGATGATGTGCCAGCCTGATGACGACTCTATCGTATGGTGGCTTACACAAAAGCAGCTCTAGTGTACTGCGTCAGTGCTTTTTGCAAACCTGTTTGGGGCTCGCCGGATGTGATGTAACGATGTTAAGAGTGTTAAAGATGCCTATCCTTCTCTTGCATTATGAAAACTTTTACTTATGTTATTGTTGGCACTGTATTAAAACAGGATGGTTGTGTGTGCATGTTTTTATTCCTTCTTTTTTGTTTTTTTCTTGCTACCTATGGTGAACAAAACTTTTAGTTCAATGCATGGGTTGACAGAATGGAAGCATGGTTGTGCATGCTTTTTGGAAAATGAATGGGATGCTACTGTTTAAATTAAATGTATGGCTATTTTTAAGACAGGCAATGACGAATTTGCTTGCTAGCTTTTGTATGTCTATATTTTGCAAATTTAGCTATTAGTTTACTTTGGCGTCAACTTTTGTGGTTGTTACCACCATGGTCCCCCTGTAAATGAAAGTTGAACAGGTTTACAATTTGTGCAATTCATATCATCATGCATTACTAATGACATTGGTGACGGCATTACTTACATTAAAAATAATGTCGGCATTTTTTAATTGCAATTGTTAAAATAATTTGAGTCAATGAAAGGGAAGTAAATTGATTGAAAGAGTGCCACTCTTGTAGGTCTTGGATTTCAACGAAGACTTAATGAATCCCTGGGATGGAAGCAACAGTGGCGGAATAAGGAAAATGCTTAATCAAATGGCGGTCCAAGTGCAACAAGAACACAACTGCACATTTTTACAAGCATGCCAGTATGCGACAGAATGGTACGAAAAACACATGGCTAAAATTCCATATCGCACTTCTATACTGACCGGGAATGCATGGATATCCGAACTATATGCGGGCCATATGGGCCAATTTGAGGAAAATGTTTGCATGCCAAAGGAAGTTTTTGTCGCCTTGTGCGAGACATTAGTAAATGATTTCGGGTTACAAGTCCCGTAACATCCACATGGCTTAGCTGTTGAAGAAAGCGTTGCAATGTTTATCCATGTGTTGCAAGGGAAGCAAAATCGAGAAATCCAAGAACAGTTCCAACATTCGGGGGAGACAGTGTCTCGGCACATGCATAATGTACTAACTTCCATGAAAGAATTCACTGTTGTTCATTGCCGGCCCATATACAGTTAGCATCGTATACATCCATACGTTCGGTCTAGACGGAAATACCTACCGTTCAAGGTACTATTGAAAAACATTATTGACATAAATAAAGAGTGTCAGTTATTTTGTTTTTATTATTAACTAGACGTGACGTATGGAAAAAACCAAACACTTGTTACCCGTTTAAGCAACAAAAGAATTGGGTTGTTTGCAGGACTGCGGAGCAATAGACGGAACAAATGTAAGTGCATGGGTTACGGGGCCGGATGCGGCAACATATTTCGGTAGGAAATACTGTCACACGCAAAATATCATGGCCGCGGTCGATTTTGACATGTGTTTCATATTCATTTCGTGCGGATGGGAAGGAAGTATGCATGATAGTCGCAAATTCAACGAGATACTAACAAATGATAGACGGAACAAATGTAAGTGCATGGGTTACAGGGCCGGATGCAGCAACATATTTCGGTAGGAAATATTGTCACACGCAAAATATCATGGCCGCGGTCGATTTTGACATGTGTTTCATATTCATTTCGTGCGGATGGGAAGGAAGTATGCATGATAGTCGCAAATTCAACGAGATACTAACAAATGATAATGTCCCATTCCCACATCCTGACGAAGGTAACACCCTACTTTGAAATAGATTTATGGGGCTATAATTTTTTCTGAAACGGCGTTACTTGAAAATGAAGCACAATGTTTGGTTTTGGTGTCATACATTGTTGTCCTGTCTGCAGGCAAATATTATCTTGTCAATTCTGGCTATCCAAACCGGATAGGTTACTTAGCACCATTCAAACGCAACCGTTACCACCAACAAGAATTCCGACGTATTCCCCGGAACACGACTGCAAACACGCCAAGGGAATTATTTAACAAAGTTCACTCGTCCTTACGAAGTGTAGTGGAACACACTTTCGGTGCCTGGAAAAATCGATGGGGGTTTATTCGAGTCATGCCTCGGTATGACTTTGCAAATGTGCAAGTTCAGTTAGTAGGTGCGTCGATGGCATTACATAATTATATACGGCAAAACACAGGTAATCCAACAACTGTTCACCCAATCTGTGACAAGGAAGAGGCTATGACAATAATAAATGCCATACCAGAAGTTGAACATGACGAGGATAGTTTAATGGTTGGGGATGAGGACCCGCATATGGCATTGGTGCGCCTTCGCATACGCAACAAATTATGTTACATGTGTAATAACGAAATGTTAGGAAATATATAATAGTCGACCTAATTTTCATAGGGTTGTAACATTGGTAATACACGTGGAACAGACTGTATTCAAATATATTATCACGTATCAGTAGAATGTGTTTACACAGGAATATACCCCCTTTCTGTTGCTGACGTGCCTAATTTTGGAAAACCAAAAACCACATAAAAAAGCCTTTTCAAAAAACAAAAAAGGTGAAACAAATAAGAAAAAAAAAACAACTAATGCAGAAATTATCATGTGCGACGTCAATTCAAAACATAAAAACACAAGTTGAAAACAACAAAAAAACCAAAACAGACCCTCATTTTTTGTCATGTGCCACGGCAATATATGATTTTCCACATCATTTTAAATAAATGACATAAAAAAACCTTTTTCCAAACAAAAAAACCAACCGAAATTAGCATTTTCCATGTAATTTACAAATAAATAAAACACATGAAAACCCATTTGTCAAATATAAAAACAAATTAATGTATACAAATTAAAAAAAATTACAGAAACGTAAATTTAAAAAAGAAGAACAACAAACATATGCCTCATCCAAAAAAAAGGAAAAAAAAAACAAAAAAAAACGTAAATTAGCATTTACCACGTCATTTACAAATAAATAAAACACATGAAAATCCATTTTTGTAATATAAAAATAAATTAATGTGAGTGAATATAAAAATCTTGGTAAAATCGTAAATTTAAAAAAAATAACGACAAAAATACGCCTCATTCAAAAACATATGAAAACATAAATTACCATTCGCCACGTAATTTATAAATAAATGAAACACATAAATAAATAAAAAAAAGTTATTGTATACCAATAAAAATAAAGAAGGCAAAAAACGTAAATTAAAGAACAAGAACTAATTAATGTATAAAAAAAAAAGACAAAAACATAAATTTAAAAAAAAATTAAGCAAAATACGCCAAATCCAAACCGAAAATTTAAAAAAAAAATGTAAGCAAAATACGCCAAATCCAAACCCAAAAAAAAATAAAAATAAAAAAAACAAAAACAAAAAAAAATGTACGCAAAATATGCCAAATCCAAACCCAAAATAAAAAAATAAAAAATAAATTTAAGCAAAATACACCAAATCCAAACCCAAAATAAAAAACTTTAAAATAAAAAAAATTTAAGCAAAATACGCCAAATCCAAACCGAAAAAAATAAAAAAAAATAAAAAAACATTTAAGCAAAATTTGCCAAATCCAAACCCAAAATAAAAAAAATAAAAAATAAAAAGCCAAAAAGGGCAATTTGGTAATTTAACAGGAAGACACCTCACCAAAAAGTCAAAAAGTCAAAAACGCCAAAAAGTCCTTCTTAAACCAGACTTTTTAGCCCCAGGCTAAAATAGCCAAAAAAATTAAAAAGCCAAAAAGTCAACCCAGTTCCCAAACGGAGGCTTTGTATGCCGCCAAAATATTTGACTCCTTTTGAAAACTTTTTTAACTTGTAATTAATTTTTTTTTTAAATACACCTAATCTAGTTATACTTAAAAATTAAAATATTTGTGAAAAAAATCTAAAAGTAATTCAATAAAAGAAAAAAAATGTATTAAATTTTTCTATTTTTTTGTAGTGAATTTTTGAAAGTGTTTTCATAAATTTTTGTACTTTCTAATTTTATCTTAATTAAAGGGATATAAAGAGTAAATAAATATATTTATTAAAATATTAAAAAAAAGGTTCACTAAAAAAATGTAGATTAAAAATTTATTCTTTAAAACTTCAAAATAAACAGGGTGATGCTTTCTTAATTTTGAAAATTGGCAAAAAAAAATTCTTATTTTTTTCATCTGTATTTTTGCTCACAAAAAAATAGCTACATTGATCATTTTTTCTTATTTAATTATTATTATTAGTATTTATTTTTATTTTTATTTTTATTTTTATTTTTGGGTGGAGAAGGGTTTTGGCCTTTGATTTTCTGAAATGAGTGTTCTAGAGGAAAAGTGAAGAGCTAGTTCAAAAAAGGAGAAACAACAGTAGCTTTCCATAAGATGTCTTCTTTGATAAAAATACTTGCATGCACAAAAGGCTTAAGTGTGAAAGAGAACAGAGAAGCTTCAGAAAAGATGGTTTATAGAGTTGTCTTCTTGAGTCACAGCTTCAAATTCAATACTTGTGAGAGAGGAGGCTCAAGTGTGAGAGAGAAATGAAGGTTTGTAGAGGGTGTCTTTTTGGATCACGACTTCAATATTTGAGTGCGTGAAAGTGAGTGATTAAGGTGGGAGTGTCTTTTGGAGTCATAGTTTCAATGCTCTGACGACATTTTAATAAAGAAATAATTTAAAATATTTTTGTCTCCTCAAACTCATATGTTCATTGCCTAATCAATAAAAATACAAAAACAATTAATGTGTTTGGTTTCAATTTTCTGGAAATTGAGTTTTTTATTTTTTGTGTTTTTTTTTTATTTTAGTGAATATTTTTAAAATTTTAAACAATTTTTT